TTATTTGTGTAACAGTGAATAGTTAATGATGACTTCTTACATACACTCTCATTTGTATCTCACCACAGCCCTTTGAATGAAGTCACTATTATAAGTATTACTCCCCTTTTCTACGTGAAGACACTGGTTTAGAGAGGTGCCTTGTGTCTTGTGCAGAGACTTGCAGCTCAGAAGCAGCAGACCTGGATGGGGGTGGGAGGGTGGAGAATGTTGAATTTGGAGTCAGGGCATGAGTTCAAGACATGGCCCAGCTAGTGTGCCTTAGGCAAGTTACTTAACCTTTCCTACCTCAATTTCCTCATCTATAAAATGAAGAGGTTGGACTAGATAATCTGTAAGGACCCATCTAACCCTAGCTCTGTGATCCTAAGAATTCTGGTCTTTTGATGGCAAGTCCAGGACTCATTTATATATGATGTCAGCTTTCAGTCCAATAAAATATTTTGTATCACCTAACATTTTCATGCTGGATATGTTATATTTTTGTTTCTAAGGTGTTCATTACTATGATATCTCCATATTTTTAAAAATATCAATCTTATATTGTATAAAGGAAAATACATAGTCAATATTAACAGTTTTCACCATTTAAATTTTTCTGTGCCCAGGTTTTCATGGAAGTTGTGCTGTGGCTGTACATAATTTTCTAAAATAATGGGTTGATAAGTTATTATCCATAAATGATTCTTTATGGTAAGATGTTAAATTGGTTTTCTTAATGGGACCTCTCCTTTTTTTCTAGAATTGTGGGTGTTCTAGGATCCTATTCTTTTCACTTTTTTTTAACACATGGTTTGATTAAGATGCCCTTTATTTTGATTTTTATTATGTCTTATTATTCAGGAACTAAGGAACAAACACTTCTCATAGAAGTAACTTATAAAGAAAATATCTAGTTTTTCACCTGGTTTCCCCCAGTAGCACTTTTATTTCCTACTTGTGGAACTCTGTTTCCTCACCCTTTTTGGTTTTGGATAGCCAACCATTCTTCTTGAATAGAAAAATGGACGCTTATCTTTAAGTTCCAAAGTAACATGAGTTAACTATCTAAACCAAGAACCCACACTTTGAAAATATCATTCATTCAGCAAATACTCCAGTGCTTCCTGATAGCAAGGCTCTCCACAGATTAAAAACAAATTCATGTTTGCAGCAGTCTTATGATTATTTTCTAGCTCTAAAAGGAGCCATGAAGTTTTTCTGCTGTATCGCCAGTATTTTGTGGTCGTGCAGTAACTAATGTAGATAGCTCAAATAATGATACATTCAGTATCAGAACCACTTGAGCTATTCAAAATCATATTTTGATTGCAGAGTAAAAAGTACCAACAAGGAAATCTTTTTTCCTCAATTAAATGAGACTCATCTGCTGTAACTTTGTGTTCTCGTGCTTAGATGAGATACTCAAAGCTATTATGCAGTATTTTGGTAGTTCATAGATTTTCTTTTGTTTCTTTGTTTTCCTGATTTTCCTTTTATCTCTTTGTAATTCTTCCAGGAAGATTTTGTTACTACATATGTAGTTGGGCTCTCTTGTTTTCCAGTGGTGGTATTGAATTTTAAATATTGTAGTCATTCACAATGCCTCTCTAGTCCCATTTATTATTTTGGTATTGGAACCTAGAGTTATTGGTAAGAGTTTCTTCTCATTAAGTTTAGATCCTCTTAGATCTTTTTCTTTATGCTAGCTGCAAGTCTTGTAAACACTTTCCTTTCCTTTATGTAGTAAGTCTTTAAGCTGTTCTTGTAGGAAACTTCATTGTAAGAATTTTTCAGAAGGACCTTTTAAAAAATGTCAAAGTTGAAATCATTTCTGATATTCAGTTCAGCTCAGTTCAACAAGCATTTATTAGATCTACTTATGTGCCTGGCACTGTGCCAAGTGCTAGAAATACAAAGAAAAAACCTGCACTTTCTCATAAGGAGCTTACATTTGAGTGGGGAGAAACAACACGTACATAATTTATGTGTATAATACATGTAACATGTTTATATTTATATAACATGTAATTTCTAAGGGGGGAGGGCATTACTCCTAGGGGTTGGGGATAGGGCAGGATCAAGATAGGCTCCTTATATAGACAGAACTTGAACTGAGGTCAAAGTAAGATGCTAGGGATTTTATGAGGTGGAGGTGAGTGCATTCTGGACAGGGGGAAAATCTATGCAACACAACAACAAGCTGGCCCGTCTGTGCCATACAGTATACGTGAAAGGGAATGATGTACATCAAGTCTGGAAAGGTAGGCTAGAGCAAGATTGTACAGAACTTGAAAAAACCAAACAGAGGAGTGGACATTTTTTCCTAGAGAAAAAGGGGAATCCCTGGAGTGTCTTGAGTATGGGAGGCACATAGTTTGACCTGTGCTTTAGGAAGACCAATAAGAATTTGGAGAGAGAGGGCAGCTAGGTGGTGCAGTGGATAGAGTGCCAGCCCTGAAGTCAGGAGGACCCGAGTTCAAATCCAGTCTCGGACCAAACACTTGACACTTACTAGCTGTGTGACTCTGGGCAAGTCACTTAACCCCAATTGCCTAAAATAACCCCAAAAACAAAACAAAAAAAAGAATTTGGAGAGAGGGAAGATAATTAGGAGGCTAGTGCAGTAGTCTTGGTGAGAGGTAAGTGAGATTATAAATTAGGGTGGTAACTGTGAGTGGAGAGAAGTAGACTGATGGGAGAGATGTTGTAAAGGGTAATTTGACAAGATTTTCCTGTAAAGCTGTGGATGTTATCTCCATTTTACAGATGAAGAAACAAGCACAGGGATTTAGTGGTATTGTCAGGAAAAGCATTCATCTTATGCAGGGACCTAATACTTTATTCAGCAAATATAACAGCTGTCATATAACCCAGTACTCTCTAGCCCTTCCCTGCTCAGTGCTAGTTATGAAATGATTAGTAGCATATTGTGTACAACAGATGTTCTTCATTTGTTTGAGTCATGTCTAACTCTTCATGACCCTGTTTGGGGTTTTCTTGGCAAAGATACTAGAATGGTTTACCATTTCCTTCTCCAGCTCATTTTACTGATGAGGAAACTGAGGCAAACAGGGTTAAGTCACCTGCCCAAGGTCACATAGCTAGTAAATGTCTGAGGTCAGATTTGAACTCAAATTTTCCTGACTGTAGTCATGGCAGTCTATCCACTGCACCAACTGGCTGCCTCGTGTACAATAGAAGTTGACTGAAAAAAGAAAGGGGGACAACATAGTAGGATAGGAAGCTGGGGTTAGTCATAGATGCTAGTTGTATTCATCAATTCATGTACAGATAGATAGATAGATAGATAGATAGATAGATAGATAGATAGATAGATAGATAGGATAGATATAGGATTATAGCTGTAGAGCTGGAAGGGACCTCAAAGGACATCTGGTTTAGCTCTTGAGATTGTCGCATAAAAGCCACTGTTTAAGTACATTACATTGCCATAGTAATTACTTTGGAATTTCAGTCAGTATATAAGGCTGAATACTTTTAGTTAGTGTTTGCTCTTAAATTTTGTCAATTTGCTAAGTTAGTAGAATTTTTTGGATGCCTATCTTTTTCTAGTTTGTAAGCACTAGAATTATATCATATGGAATTTCATAAAAATTCTGGAAGGTTTTGAGCTTCTCTAATTTAAAGTTTAGTAGGTGGCTTGGAGGCAACTAAGTGGCTCAGTGGAGAGACCACCAGGCCTGGAGTCAGGAAGACATAAGTTCCAGTCTGGCCTCAGACAGCTGTGTGACCGTGGGCCAGTTGTTTAACCTCTATTTGCCTTACTACACTGGAAAAGGAAATGGCAAACCACTTCAGTTTATTTGACAAGAAAACCCTATGGACAGCATTGGTGTGCTTTGGTCCACAGATTCATGAAGAGTTAGACACAACTTAACAACAAAAGCTTTTTAGCATAATTTTTATTGTTTCTGATGCTCTTCTGCTATCATTTCTGTACTCTGCTCTTATTAACATAAATAAATTTGAAACTTAAAACTAATCAATAATACTGTATTTTCCATACAGTCTTTTTACTGTCACTACTTTATGCAAATGTAAACTGCCTGAGGGCAAAAAAATTGGGAGGAATAATTAAAATTTTGTTGTTCTAATGAATACTTGATATAGGAACTTCCTTCTTTGTTACAGATCAGATACTGATCTACAATTTCTAGTCTTTGAGAGATTCATAGGATACTGAGAGGTTAAGTGACTTGCCCCTGGTCACATAACTGTATGAGTCAAAGGTAAAATTTGAACCCAAGTCTTTCTGACTCTAAATCTGGAACTCTATCCACCATGCTATGCTATGTAGCATATAGTAGGTATTTAATAAATGCTTGTTCAATTGCATGTGCTTTTCTTGTCAATAAGTTGTTTTCTGTAACAGGATCTGTTCTGAGTTAATACTTTAAATAAGATTCCATGACAAATTGGCAATCTGACCAAATGCTGATAAGCATTTCTGATAGTGCTCACTCATATGTGAAAGCTAAAAATCATTGGAGGTTGTGAGATGATAGGATCAAGGACTCAGAGCAAAAAGGGAACTTACTGGTTGTCAGGTCCAACCCTCTAATTTTGTAGACTGAGGAAACTGGGGCACAGAGAGCTTACATGTCTTGTCCAGGGTCACACAGCTAGGAAATCTCTGAGGTAGTATTTGAAGTTTGGTCTTCCTGACTTTAAGTCCAGTGCTCTATTCACTCTGCCACCTACTAGTTACTTTCTGTGGTGTACTAATTAAAGAATCTTCTTGGTAGACATTTAGATTAGAAAAGTAACATTTGCAGTGATATTTTGATATTTTCCCAGGTGACTTTTTTTAAATAGCAGCCATATCTTTAGATTCATATTCTTTACTAAAGTGAGAAACAGCCTTAATATGTTAGCATCATGGATTTAGAGCTAGAAGATACTTTTGAGCTCACCTAGATTAACCCCTCCATTTTAAAGAGGAGGAACTAAGGCCTTATTTTACTAAGTTTTGACAAACCTTGCTTCCTTTCAAATAGGAAATGTTCCTCCAAATTGGCCTTGCAGAGACATATGGGTATACACGCTGGAGTTAAGCCTTTCCATTGCCAGCACTGTGACTATAAAACAAGACTGAAGGCTTCATTGATACAACACATGCGGATCCATACTGGTAAGCCAGTAGTTTTTCATCTGCCTGCTTGAGCTGCCTTTCAACGACAATAGTCCTTTAAATCCTTTCCTTAAGTCATGGTTTTCTATAGAGAGCCAGTCCTTTTACAGTAGGTGGTGCTCTTGTGCTATATTATAGTACTTAGAACAGGCTTCTTTTTTTTCTTAATTTTTTTTCTTTTTGGTCTTTCTCTTTAATGCAGTGACATGATAGAGTTTATGGCTTTGCCTAAGGGAGCAACAGCTGGGTACTTTGAAAGGTTGTTTTCTACTTTTCTCTTTTGCTTTATCTTCCTACCTCTGACAGCTATCTAAATCTTGCCTTTGCTATAGGTGGGAGCCCACGTGAAATTACTTAAGTGCTTTAGCTTTTAAATTCTGATTCTGAGTTCTGCCTGAGACCCTAGGATCAAGGGTCTTTCTTTCCCTTTTCATACAGACCTATAAATCCTAAAGGCTTATTTGTGGTGGCTAGTATCTCCTTTTACTTTTTACCTCTTCTAACTCTCCTGTCCTTTATTCTCACATGGGAAATTAGCATTGTGTTAGTGCTGGGAGGGATATTAGGAGCTCTAATCCAAACCACTCATTTTACAGATGAAGATGCTGAGGCCCAGAAAGGTTGTGTTGCTTTTTTGCTTTGTTTTGGTTTGGTTTTTTTGGCAAAGCAGTTGCGGTTAAGTGACTTAGCCAAGGTCACACAGCTAGTAAGGGTCAAGTATCTGGTCTGAGACCAGATTTGAACTCAGGTCCTCCTGACTCTGGGCTGGTACTCTATCCACTGTGCCACCTAGCTGCCTCATGTTGTTTTTTAAGATAAAACTTATTAATATGTTTTGTTTTTATATCATCTACCATTTCCAGTGTATCCCTCTTCTCTTTCCCTTTTAGAGAGCCATCCTTTAAAGAATAAAAAAGAGGAAGAAAAATCCATCAAAACTAACCAACATGGTGAAAAAGTTATATGCAGTGTTCCACACCTACAGTCCTCACCTCTGCAAAGATGTAGGGGGTGGTACTTTCTCTTATCTCTTTTTTGAGGCCAAGCTCAGTCAATCCTTATGATTTTGAAGCATTAAGTTATGTTATTTTGTTGTTGTCTAGAGTGGTTAAGAGAGTTGCAGAAAAGTAGAATTAGGTCTCCTACTAATATTGTGGTCCTCTTTCTCTTCTACCATGCTCCTCCAAAAGCTTAGCTTTGAAGAGTTGGGATTTTTGTTTTAAAATTTTCCTGCCCAAAGTGGAAATATCAGTAGTTTTAGCATAAATCCTATGGGCCAACTTTACCCAAAGTAACCATTTCTACCTTCCTAGCAAATTATTTCCTTCTACTCTGAAAAAGGCTGGTCCTCTGCTCTCTATAATTAAAATGAGGTGGGGTAACCATAACCATAACCATAACCAGATGGTCAGAAATAATGGATGTGAAAGTTTAAAAACTTGTAAGCTTTATACACATATAAAGTGATGACATCTTGCTCATTTCTTAGTATCCTCTGCATTTTTCACAAAAACAAGCACTTAATAAATTTTTTTTCCCATTCATTTATCTTTTGTGTCTTTGGAGAATCTTCAGTTACTTAGCCAGTAAACTTGTTTCTCTGAAGATAAAGAGTCATAGAATTTTAGTGCTGGTAGCTTTTGACAGCCATTATAGATAATCTCTTCTTCCTTTCCACTAGCAATGATATATCACATTTATACAGCTCTATCTATCTCCTGACTCCACATTCAGTGCTCTTTCTTGCATATCAGAGTGCCTTTCAAAATATGAATTATTATTATTGTCACTAGGCACTTTTTAATGTTCATTTAACCATCTATATGATGATGTATACTAGGCTTTAAAAGAATAGCAGCTTTTTGGAAAGTCCATAGTGGCTCAAAAAGTGAATGGGTTAAGTTACTTATTCACTTCTGCTGTGAATTCTCCTTGCCCACTTTTTGGCCCACGAGGAATGCTCTTTAAGCCCCATTCTCATGGTCCTGAGAAAGGGCATCTTGTTTTCTTCCTTATCTTAGTGGTTTGGTTGAAAGGAAAAGGCAAGTTCTGACATGACGGCCAGCCACCTTGGCACAAGAAAGTGCCAGCTTACATGAATTTGCCTGAGTTCCAGGTGTTTCAAAGTAGGTTTAGATCAAGGTATGTTATTAACTCTTCCACACACCTTTCCCATGTCAGCAAACAGAATAGAAATAGTTAAATCTACCCAACAGCTGAAGTATCATAGTATAACTAAGGCACAACTTTTTGAGGAAGGTAACAGAATTTAGGTATGTGTTATAGTCTGCCTTTTTCTTTTTTTAAAAGTACCTTTTTCTATAGTTACCGACATTTGGGGAAATGGTTCATTTCCCCAAATGAAAGGCATCTGCCTTAGTTTAAAAGGTATGAGGTTGGATCTTTTGAAGAACTTTTCATTTCAGGAACAGGTTTCATTTGCTTTGTTTCACATAATGCTGAGTTTTCTGTTAGAGAGCCAGGACTCTGTTTCATTGGTGTTGCTGGGTTTGGGGGATTGTTTGAGATTTATGTTTATGGAAACATTTCCATGGTTACACCCACTTCCTTCTTCCTGATGAAAAAAAGTGGCAGTCATAGAGTTCTTGGATTACCACACAGTGCAGTGTCTTTTTAATCTAGCTTCATATAGGATTTTTAGACATTCCAGGCACTGGCCATTTTAATTTTTCTCTTTTAAAGAGTATTGCTTTCCACACTCAGAGAAAGAAATATGGAGTCTGAATGCAGATGGAAGCATACTATTTGACCTCTTTTTCCTTTGTTGTTTTGTTTTATTGCTTCATTCTCCTGGTTCCTCCCATTAGTTCTAATTGCTCTTTGGGAAAATATGCTTAACATGAATGTATATGTAGAGCCTATATTGGATTGTATGCTGTCAGGGGTGGGGGTGGGAAGAAATGGGAGGGGGAGAAAATTTAAAACTCAAAATCTTATGGAAGTGAATGTTGAAAACTAAAAATAAATACATTTTTTAAAAAAGAATATTGTGGTGTTAAAAACCACAGAGTTGGATGATATAAAGTGAACAAGAGGTTGTCTTCCATGAATGACTGACCTAAGCCTAATTTGAACAAATATTTCTATAATATGCTCTGAATTTAATTCCTCTTATGGTATAATTTTTTCTGATGCATATAACACTAATTAGCCACTTCAGACAACATTTGTATACTTAAACAGATAGTAAGGTATCAAAAAAAGGCCTGGCTAAAATACTCTCCAGTTAATAAAAATATTTTCTATTAGTAGAGAATAATAAACAAAGGTACTTTTTATTCTTAAATACATTTTATTTCTTTTATTTTTTACCCCACCAGAATTTTGCCCTGTAGCTTTCCTCATATCTTCTCCCAGAGAATTGTTTTATATAATAGGATTTTTTTAAAGAAAAAAAGGAATAAAGGAAAAAAGATGAGCAAAACTGATAACTAAATTGGAAAAAGTCTGAAAATGTGTGCAGTATTCTACATCCATGGACCTCCCACCCCTGTAAAGGACTGAAGTGAAATTGTTTTCTCATATCTCTTTTTTGGAACAATGTTGCTTCTTTATATTTTGCAACATTCACTTTGATTGTTTTGTGTTGGTTGTTCTTTTCACTTACATTGTTATAGTCCCTGTGTATGGTATTTTCTTAGCTCTGATTATCATGTCAGATTCCTGTACCAGTAATTGTATACATTAGAAACATAATAAAAATGTTAACGATATAAAAATGAAATAATATTTTATTCTAGGGTCAATAGGAAGGCACTGGAGTTTTAGTAGGGAAGTGACAGTCAAAATGTACTTGAGGAAAATCACTTTGGCAAGCTGGGTGGAGGATGGATTGGAGTGGAAAGAGGCTTGAGGCAAAGAGACCAATTATGTTTAGTTAGTATGTATCCATTTGGAGTTTATTGTTGTGTAAGATTCGAGTCTAAACTTAATTTCTGCCAAACTACTTTACAATTTTACCATAAATTCTTGTCAAAGAGAGTGTTCTTTCCCCTAATAGTTCATGTTCCTGGTGATTGTTGGCTATTCCAATAGTCCAGGTGAGAGGTAATGAAGACTCAAATGAGTATGGGGCTGTTAGTAGACAGAAGGGGTCAGATGAGAAAGGTGTTTTGAAGGTAGAAATGGCAAGATTTGATAATTGATTGGATATTAGAGAAAGTGAGTCATTAAAGATGACTGCAAGGTTAAGAACCTAGGGGATTGGAGGTTGTAGTGTCCTTGGCAATAATAGGAAAATTTTAAAGAGGGATGGGTTTGGAGAGAAATTAGGGTTGGATATATAGATCATAGAGATAAACAGAGCTCCCATGGCTGTCATGATCAAAGAGACATTATGCAGAGACATGTGGTGGCAGGAATTTGCCTATGCTTTGTAACACTTAGGTCAGGTTAGGTTATATCACTCCTGCCCTGAATACCTCATGACTGGTGCAGCCATGGAAGGCCAATTGTGAGAGGAAGAAGAATGGGATAGTGTAGATGTGTTGGATACAGAAAATTGGGAGGATAAGATGTAATCCATTTCTCCACCCTGTGTAGTTGATCACCCACCCCTTGGGGTCAAGCCAAGTCCCTCATTTTAGACTCCTATTTTAATAAACATATAAAAAACCTTTATGATATGCATATTATTAGTATGTAAATAGCTTTAACCAGAGCAATTGTATTTTTTTGCACAAATTCTCAAATGTATCTGGTCTCTTTTTTTGTGTGTTTTCTTCAATGATGCAGCTCATCCATGCTGTCCATTCCGTCCACTCCTATTTTCTACGTCCTTCCATAAATTTGCTGCAGTGGTTCCGCCCAGCACACTGGAACTGTCTTTGATTTCTCTTGAAATGTCAAAGATAGCCAGTGAAAGACACAGGATATCCATTAGTTATTTCTTTGCTCTTACATTTTCTATGTAGTTCCTTGTTTGTTATGGGTTACAACCTGTTGTTCTTTCCATTGGCTTCTGAGAGATCCTCAATTTT